TTTTTTTGAACCAATTAAAATCGTTATGCGAGGCACCACTGTATTTGCCATTCGTGGAGTGTTTCAGTGAGGCCTCAGAGAGAAATTGGAAGGCATATGCCTTCCTTAATTTCCAAGCCAATGAATACTATTTTTCTCCTCTAAAAAATAAGATTTCATTTACATATATTCAGACTGCAGTCCTATTCAAACCTGGGAATAAGCCCCCTTGAAGTCAGTGGGACTTATTTCTGAATATAGATCCATTTCAGTCTGGCTTCAGGCGTGGGTACAGAACAAATAGCTTTGGTTGCCTAGGTGGGTGGCCTACACCGGGAACTGGGCAGGGGAGTGTGTCCCTGTTCTCTTGGTGGTTTCCAATACCATTGACCATGGTATCCTTCTAGGGTACTTTTCTGGAATAGGTCTTGTAGGTGCTGTTTTACAGTGGTTCTGATCCTTCCTGGATGGCCAAACTTAAAAGGTAGAGTGGGGGAATCCTGTTCAACACCCTGGCCATTAGTTTTTGCTGTACCTCGAGACTCAGTCCTGTGCCCTATTTGTTAAAGATCTACATGAAATTGCTGGGAGAGGTGATCTGGAGTTTTGGGGTTTGGTGCTATCAGTATGCTGATTACACCCAACACTGTCTTTTTTTCCATCTGATTCCAAGAAAATGTTCTGTGCTTAGACTGAGGGCCAAAAGAATTCAAGAGAATTCATTTAATCTAATTTTCTAGCGGCAGTGTTGTCTCTGTATACTGACTTTCTGGACTTGGTATTTTGGAGATTGCTTTTGGAAAACCCTTTGAGCTCTCTGCTGAATTTGTTTTCAGTGTGATAACTGTGGAGCCAATCCCATTCAAGGCATTCGGTGGCACTGCCGAGACTGCCCTCCAGAAATGTCTTTGGATTTATGCGATTCTTGTTCTGACTGGTAAGCAGATGCCTTGGTGGCAATTATACACCATTTTGTTGTATTTTTGAAAAGTGTTTGGTTTGTGTATGTTTTGAGAGCCTGGGTGGTACCGTGTATGGAATGATGAATTGGGACTTGGGAGATGTGGATTCAAATTCCTGCTTGGCAATAGAAACTCAATAGCTCACATACTTCAAAGACACTGCTAGAGTCTCTGTAAATCAAATGCAATAAACTCTTCTCTGGGGTCACTGTGATTCACATACATGTGTTCTCGTTGCCTGCACAATCGATCCTCAGAATGTTCCTCAGCTGAAAAACCTTTACTCCCTTTCCAGAGCACATGCCCTGATACCCAATACGGCCTTTCTCATACCTCTAGCACTAGGTTTGAAATGCGTCTTAAAATGTTACATGACTACTTGGGTCTAAAAAGTAATCTCTTTGGTAAAGCAGTTGCTCTTATATATGTAGCAGGAAAGCACTTTGCTAGAAAACAAAAGCTGAGGTGTTAAGAATTTATGAATGTAAGACTGATTCTTTGCCCCTGAATTTTCATATATATTCACAGAGTCGTGTAAAGAACATTCATCATACATGGCAAATAATGCTTCTTTTCTCTTTTTTTAGCCTACATGAAACAGACATTCACAAGGAGAATCACCAATTAGAACCTGTATATAGAGCAGAGACATTCTTAGACAGAGACTACTGCATGTCCCAAGGCCCCAGTTATAATTACCTTGACCCCAACTACTTTCCTGCAAACAGATGACATGGGAAGCAAGCCTGCAACCTGAAGCTTAGTATCGTCTTTGAAAATGCAGCGGCGACACTGCTGTTGATGCTCTGCCCACCTTGGAATAATATTTGCTTTCCCAGGAATGTCATTTGCAGCATGAGAGCTTTCCAGGTGCCCTCAACGAAACACTGCTCTCTGGTGTGTTATGATATTAAATTGCTGAACAGAAGTTGACCATTCCTAGTGTTCAGCAAGCTTTACTGAGGTGATTTTTCTTTTCACTGTGTTGGTCTCTTTAAAAAAAAAAAGATAGTGAATCTAAAGAGAGGAGTTTAAAAAGTGTGGCCAGATATGAAAGCACACATTAAAGATGGGCAATTCCAAAGGCAAAGAGAACTTGGCTGTTGTGAAATGTGGAGGTGATGAAATGATTACATTCAAAGGAGTTTTGTAGTTTGCAGTTTTGTTGTGAAACTAGTTTTCAGTACAGGAACTGACTTCTTTAGGCAAAGTTTTAACCTTTGACAGTGTTTTGCTTCTAGAATATTCTTCAAAAACAATCACTGTTCCTGTGATGGTCAGTAATAGGCCTTTGAGCTGCTTAATCACACTGACTTTTTTTAAAACCCTTTCCTCTTCTTTTTTATCACAGTAAACTTTTATTTAGCAACAGTGAAGCACTACAGGGGGCAACTGTGGCATTGCTTCCTTAACCAGCTCACGGTGTGTGAATATTATAAAATTGTCACGCAGATATATTTTTAAATGTAATGTTATATAAGATGACCATGTGATGTGTACAAAAATATGGTGAAAAGTGCCAGTGGTAGTAACTGTGTAAAGTCTCCAATACCCAACATTAACTCTTATAAAGTAAGATACACAGCCTTCTGCCTCTGTATTTGGAGTTGTTAATGCAACTCATTAAAGAAAACTGCCTAATATAAATCATATATGGTAATAATTTTCCTCTTTTGTAGTATGCACAAGATCCATGAAAGATTGTATTTTTATTACTATTTAAACAAGTAATTAAATTTAGCCTGAGCAGTGAGCAAGGGTTCACATGCATTCTTTTATACTGCTGGATTTTGTTGTGCATCATTTAAAACATTTTGTATGTTTCTTCTTATCTGTGTATACAGTATGTTCTTAAATAATGTTCATTTGTCAGGAGAACTGTGAGAAATAAACTATGTGGATACAGTCTGTTTATATATAGAATGCTTACTGTGACTTCTTTCTGAGGAGGTTTGACTTTTGAACCAACATTACAAATTGAGAATACCATGTAGTTCATAGATGAAGAAGGTGCCTGAGCCTCCTAAAGGGCTAAGTGTCCTAGCTGTCATCATCCAGATGTCTTAACTCAGTCCCTTCCAAGGAAATGCTCCAACGCCCTGAGACTAACACATCCCCCCTGTTCAGAACCTTATGTGTACTCCAAATAGCACAGGGGCTTTTTGCGTGTTGTGCTATGCTGTTCACTCTGATTAAGGAAAGATGTGCTTACACAGAGCTCTTTTGACATGAACAATGTAGCATTTGTGGCATTACTGTGGGTTTCCGTATCTTTAAGATACCACTGGATCAGAGCAATTAGATGGAGGATATCAATTAAAATTTCTTGTGTAACGGATTGATCATGATGCACGCTTTCAGGCTGCTCTTTAAAACAGTTCCTTCCCCACCCTTGCCCACAGAACAAATGAGAAAAGCATTTGGTACGCTTTCCTAATCTACAAAGAGCAATGATTTAAAAGCTTTGTAATATTTGCTATATATTATTAGCTAATATATCATTTTGACATGTATAACTTGTGATCCAGAAATGCCGATTATTTTTACTGTAGTAGATTTTTCATTGCTTAAACAAAAACTTGAATTTTCATAGTGACTTAGAATAATATGTTTAACTTAAACTGTGGCAGTAAGTAACTAACAAGGAATTGGCTGGTGCATTTCATGGCAGCATTAATTTCAGTTTAATCAGTGTTAATTTTCAGTGTTTGTTTTAGGTGTAATCACTTTTTGTTAGAGTAGTTTAAGCATTTTTAATATATTGGGTAGATGATACGGTATCATTTCCTAAATGGCTGAGCAGTATAATACATCGTCTGTAAGCATATCTCATCCTTTGAGAAATTTAATAAACCAAAATGTATATAACATGAAATAATACACCTGATGTATTTTACTTTTCTCTTTAATGAAAGCAAAATCTTGACTCCTCTGGAAAGGAAAAACAACTAATCATGTAAAAAAAGAAGGCTTACTTTCCTGTTACTCAGATTGTTTGTCTCATTAGCCCAGATATTTCTTCATACTGTAAAGTTTATAAAGTTTATAATCATTTGACACGTGATATGGGCACAATGTACCTTTCATTTACTACCACCTTCAACACTTAGAGAAGAAATGCTCTCTCTATGCCTCTGCAGTTTGAGAAGTACTTCCATAAGCAAAGTGGACAGCTAAACCTTTCCTAATGCCCTAGGTCTCAGTAATTATGTGGCAAACTCAAGGAAGTATCCCATGGCAAGAAAAAATGGTTTCTAATTTCATCTCAGGTCTATTGGTTAGCCTGTTGTATTAACCAAATGTTTGGTTTCTTTGTGACATTTTCATCTCATCTCTGGTTAAAGAGTTTACTACTTGGGTCCTGCCCCAGATATGATATACCTGTTAAATAGGTGTGCAGTCCTATCTCAGATACTGAAATTCTGCCGTCAGCTGCTGATTACACCTTTTACCGCTATCCAGAGGTAACATACATACTATGAGACTTTATGAAAGATAAAACGAAACTTAACAATATAGTTTATCCATGATTTCTAAAAGCTCCTGGTCCTTTCCCCAAACTTTTCATCAACTGAGGAATTATTAACTCTAGATCAGGCTTGTCCAACCCGCGGCCCAGTTCAGCTCGTAATGCGGCCCAGTGCAATTTTTTATTTTTAAAGAAATTCCAAAGTTTCAAGATACACTGCCGGCGCTTGTGGCTGGAATGTGGCCAGGGCATGTCACAACAGTAGATGGGGAGAGAGGGGAGGAAGGAAGGAGTGGGAGGGGAGGGGACGGGGGCAGCGTGACTGCATCGCGCCGTCCCCGTCAACAGGTGGACCCCCTCCCGGCCCCATAAAGCCGCCGGAGTCAAAGCTGGCAGCCTCTGCTGTCTGAGATCGCAGCTGTCGGTAAGCGCACTTGGAGCGGGGCTGCGGAGGACGGCTAGGGCTGCCCCCCCCCATGCAGCCCAAACCAAATGTATGTGTGGCCCAAACCAAATTTCCAGCTTCTAATGTGGCCCAGGGAAGGTGAAAGGTTGGACACCCCTGCTCTAGATCAAAGTAACAACTAAGATTTTCTATACTTCAGTAAAAATTTGTAGTCTGATTAGTGAGTCATTTTTGGACACGTCTTGACAAACCAGTTACACATACCTGGTTCACTTGTGAAACTGTACGGTGTTTGCCATAGTGTTTCATGTATCAAATGCATCACTTGTAAAAAGGTTCAGGCAATCTTATTTTACAATTTTAATTCAGAAATGCTGTTTATGATGCAAATTTTGTACTTAAGCTGAAAAAAATGCAGACAAATCTATAGGTAATGATGAAAAATACCTATTTAAGTGAATATTTTATTTCGTTTAACAAGACTAAAGATGTGGAATAAAAAAAGAAATTCCTATACTGAATGTTTGTCCATATATTTTATTAGTATTACAAGAAAAATAACTTGAAAAATACAAATCTGCCTCAAGTACTCATTCATAATGCAACACCTGACAGAAAAATTAATCATGCAAACAGAACTAGGGGATGATCCAGGAAAAGGCTACTTTAGTTTCCTTGTAAAATTATTTTTTCTATATCATTCTTTTGTGCAAAGATATGAAAATGTAGATTTATACATACAAGCATTTAGAGTAATACTTCTCTTGCAAACTTTTAAAACTTAAGGAAATGAAAGTTAACAGCTTAGGATTTAAACCAGAAATCTCCAGTTGTCATATTTTACTTGTAGAACAAACAATAACTATTGCATTTGTTTATAGTTGCCTCCTATTCTTTAGGTACATAGATTTCTTAATATTCAATTTTATTTTTCTTTGTTTTTACTCTCAAGAAGTACCAGTAATTAGCTCAAATGTTTATACATTTTAACAGACAGTAATCATCCTATAGTCACTGTAGGGTTTTTTAAAAATCTGATCAGAACCAGAGGTTATTTATCTTTGTGTCAACACAGCAGTTAATCCCATAATCCCATCTGTCCTGTTCAATGTATTAATATGCATTGTACAATGTATGCTGCTTTTTCAGAGGATTTCCCCAGTTCCACTATTTTGCGTAAATGACTGCAACTTAACGGCATATTCCACCAATAAGATAAAATGTCAGAAAACAGACTTTTCAAACACTATAGAGAAAGAGCAAGCTTAAATAGCCTCAAAATTGAGCTGTCTGTTTACAGAAACAAATACAACATTATGTCAGGTATGCTGACTGGGAACTCAATGCTTGGCAGTATATCAGATAATAGTTTAGTGCAAGACATGATTTATAGAAATCAGAGCTGCTGTTTATCATGCTGCTTTTTTAACCTGCAAAGTGCAAACGTTTTGATAGACTACATATAGTACAAGTGTGTCATACTGTACCATACAGGTTGTAGAATTTTTTTCAATGTTTATAACATGCACTATTCTTTCAAGACAGCAGCTATTGCTCCGAACAGCATTTTGAGGCCCGCTGAGTGTACATGTGAGAGTGAGCAAGCACGGCAGTTATACTGTGTGTGCTAAAAGAGGAGATCCTGTGCCTTCCTTTTTCAGAAAAACATCAATAACAGCACATGTTTCAAGGAAAACTTCTTCTGGAGTTCCTTCTGCATTTACCTATTTTTTTAAAAAAAGAGAAGTTTTGCATCAGATAGCTGAACATTGAAAGAGAAACAATTCTGATCAACCAGTCACTCCCTCTTAATAGCAAATTCACATGGCAGTTGCCAAACGCCAGTGGCCATACTGCTGAAACCTAACCCTACTTCTGAAAAGCAGCAGGCTAGGGAGAGCTGGTCTGCAGAACACAAGCCAAAATGGGGCCACTGAGCATTCTTGAAGGAACCCCTAAGGCCTGCAAATGTGTGCGTTCTTAAAAGGGAGGAAATAAAAGGAGAGGTTACTTACCTGTAACCATGGTTCTTCTAGTGGTCCTCTGTGAATTTACACAATTGGGTTGTTCTGCACCTGCGCAGGACCTCTCAAAAGTTTTTAGAGCTTAAAGACGTGATTAGTGGGACATTCCCCTGTGGAGCACATGCTCTGCCCGCCAGAAGTCCCTTCAGTTCCTGTAAGAGTTCGCCGCTGTCAAAGAGCTATATAAGAGGACAATGTGACGGACAGAGGGGAGGCAGGGCGGGATGTGTGAATTCACAGAGGACCACTAGAAGAACCATGGTTACAGGTAAGTAACCTCTCTTCTTTGTGGCCTCTGTGAATGCACACAATTGGTGACTGGCAAGCTCACTTATGGGATGGTGGGACGTCACGGTAGAAAGGAAGTCAATACAGCTCTGCTGAAAGCAGCATCTTTCTTTGCCCAGACATCGAAACAGTAATGTGTGGCATACGGTGGATTGGACCATGTAGCTGCACAGCAGATGTCTATTCCTCATTGGAAGGCAGCGGAGGTAAACAGTGCTGTAGTCCACTGGTTCTTAACCTTGGGTTACTCAGGAGTTTTGGACTGCAACTCCCAGAAGCCTTCACCACCAACTGTGCTGGCTGGGGTTTCTGGGAGTTGCAGTTCAAAAACATCCAAGTAACAAAGGTTAAGAACCACTGCTCTAGTCGAGTGAGCCTTCAAAGGTTCAGGTGGTATTTTGCCTGCCAGTTCATATGCCAGTAAAATTGAACAATCCACCTAGCCAATGTTTGGGGTGAAGCTGGTGAACCTTTATTAGGGCCATGAAAATATATGAAGAGCCTTGATTCTTTCCTAAACAATTTGTTCCTGTCAATGTAAATGACCAAGGAATGTCTAACATCAAGCATGTGGAGCATGCGCTCGAGAGGTGTAGAGGGAGGTGAAAATAAGGTAGGCAGTATTATAGGTTGATTAAGATGGAAATCAGAGATGACCTTAGGTAAGAATTAAACATCTGGGTATAGAGTGACCTTGTCCAGATGGAACTGCAGAAAAGGTGGGTCTGATCTAAGAGCTGCCAGTTCGCTTGCATGTTTAGCCAACGTTATGGCTACTAAGAATGATGTTTTTAAGGAAAGCAGTTTGAGGTTAGTAGCAGCCATCAGTTCAAAAGGAGGTTGGGTTAGTCCGTTAAGGACAAGCTGTAATGATCATTAGGGAAGAGGAGGTTGACGTGGAGGACAGATATTGCGAAGTCCCTTAAGGATTTTTTTTTCAAAGTTGGATGAGAGAAAAGTTTAGCTGCTTCCGAATGAGATGGTTGCTACGTGACCACTGCAGCAATATAAACTTTCAAAGTAGAATGGGCCAATCCAAGATTAAAAAGATGGAGTATAAAGGTAAGTACAGTCTTCAGTGAAACTGGTACCGCAGGTATATTTTTTGAATTAACAAAGGAGAGGAATGCTGTCCATTTATATTGGTAAAGGATCTTTGTTGACGGTTTTCGAGGCCTGTCAAGTATATCCCTGATTGTGGGAGAATCCTCCACACCGTCAGTTTCAGAGATTCGAGATTGGGATGGTAAACGAGCCCGTTGTCCTACAGGAGGATGTTGGGGATGGACGGAAGATGGAGGAGGTCCCTCGACATCGACCTCAAGTGGGTGAACCACGGTTGTCGTGGCCACCAAGGGGCAAGAAGGATCACATCCGACTGAAACTGTTGAAGCTGAATGATGATGTGTTGTATCAGTGGGATTGGTGGGAATAGGTAGAGCAGTCCGCTGTCCCATCTTATAATGAAGGCGTCTCCAAGAGAACCTCTGCCAATACCGGTGCGGGAACAATATAGTTGGGACTTGGTAGCAAAAACATTGACGGAAGGAGTCCCCCATTGATGGCAAAGAAGGGCAAAGACGTTGTCGTCTAGAGACCACTCGTGCATCCTTGTGGTAAGGTGACTGAGACTGTGTGCAAGCAGATTGTCGTCAGTAGCAATATGGACTGCTACTGGGAAGATGTGGTGAAGGTATCACCATTCCCAGAGCTAGACAGCTAGGTACAGTAAGGAAAGGGAATGTGTACTGCCCTTTTTTTTGACATAATAAAGAGCTGTCGTATTGTCCGTAGCAAGTTGGACTGCGCATCCTGCAATGATGGGTAGGAAGGTGTGGAAAACTTTGATAATAGCTAAGAGCTCTAGGTGGCTGATGTGTAATGACTGCTCTTGTTTTGTCCAGAATCCATGGATCCTGTAATGCCGACAGTGGGTGCCCCATCCCAACGGGCTGGCATCCATGGTAACCTGTACCGTGAGCTGAAGAGGGGAGAAGGGTCTTCCGACAAGATGTGGGAGAAATGTCTACCATGTAAGTTGTTGGGCTAGTTCGCTTGTGACCCTGAGACATCTGGATGGTTGATGTGTCATGGGGTCAAATAGGGAGAGATACCATGACTGAAGATGCCTCATCTTTAACCTGGCATGCTGGATAACAGCAGTAGTGGAAGCCATGAGCCTGAGGCGGTGTTGGGCTTGATGAGCTGATACTGAAGCATGAGGTCGGAACAGTTGTATAGCCATTTGACTTTGATTATTCTCTCATAAGGGAGAAAGGTTCTGACTTGTAGGAAATTGAAGTATGCCCCTATATAGATGGCTGGCTGTGATGGTTCAAGATGGGATTTGGGTACACCTTCAGACCGAGGTCTTGAAGAGTGTCGAGAGAAATTTGGGTAGCACTGATGGCATCATGATAGGAAGCAGAAACTATTAGCCAGTTGTCTATATAAGGGAATATAGTGATTCCCTGAAGGCGGAGGTAGGCAGCAACTGGTGCAATACACTTGGTGAAGGTCCTTGGTGCTGTGGAGAATCTGATCGGAAGAGAACAGAACTGGTACAAGATGCTGTCGAATCAGAATAAAAAAAAGTTTGGTGACTCAGATGGATAGAGATGTGAAAATACGTGTCTTGGAGATTGATGGCAGCAAATCAGTCTCCCTATGAAAGGAGAGGAATGATAGTAGGTATTGAGTGTCAGCATTCTGAAACATCTAGGCCGAATGAATTTAATTGAGGTTTCTAAGGTCGAGGATGGGACGAAGTCCTTCACCCTTTTTTGGTACAGTGAAGTATCTAGAGTAGAAACCATCATGCAGGGCAGAGAAAGGGACAAAGAGTATGGCTTGTTTTTGGAGAAGAAAGGAAATTTCTTCTTCAAGTGCCAATGAGTGGGGAGTAGTTTTAATGACAGTGAAAGGTGGAGTATGCTGAAATTCAATGAAATAGCCCTTTTTGATAATTGAAAGGACCCATTGGTCCTTGGTGATTTGATGCCATGCACTGAGGAAAGGGTATAACCTGGTTTGAAACGGAGTGGAAATAGTGGTGGAAGGTGCAAGGGGTTTATTGATACTGCTTACGCTTCTTCTGTTGGCATCGAAAGGGTTGTTGACATGGTTGCTGTTGCTGGGGTAGAAAGGATGGTGCGGTAGATGTTGATGGAACGGAATGAGGTCTATCCTGCATTTGTGGCTTGTATATACAGTATGGTTGGTGGAATATCTGAAGTGGCTGTTGGACAAAGGACTGTCTGCAGTACTGGGGTCACTGGTATCAAATGTTTGCTGCGTGAAATATGATCGAGCTGTTTTCCAAATTTTATGAAGGTTGTCCATTACTTTGTCTGTTTCTTCACTGAAAAGGCCAGTGCCATTGAACGGGAGGTCTTCAATTCTTGATCTGGTGTCATCAGATGTGCCAGCCAACCTAAGCCAGGCATGGCATCTAAGGGCAATTTATTTATTTGTTTGTTTGTTTGATTGATTGATTGATTGATTGATTGATTGATTGATTGATTGATTGATTGATTTATACCCCGGGAATGGTGTTGGTATCGAAGTGGTGATGGAGACCCAGAACGTGAGTATCAAGGTGGATACGGCAAAGCATATTGGACTCTCTTGGGTTCGGTGCAGTAAACTTGTTCTGGAAAATCTTTGGGGAAATACAGATCATATTGTTGGTATTATCGATCTCTGAGATCTTCTCGTGGTTGATACCGAGAAGATTCTAGATAGTGATAGTAATCTCTGTGTGTAGGGTCATACTGCATTGGTGACAAGTGTTGTCTCTTCACCCAATGTTTTCAAGGGGAGTGATGACACGAGTCTGAGCGATTTGAATCAGAATTGCCTGCCCTGATGACGCAGGGCTTGATTGGGCCAAATTGCCTGCCCTGATGATGCAGGGCTTGACTGGGCCGAGGCCTAGCTGGAGTAAACATCAGCCGGAGAGAGGCCAATACTTGGCAACAAGCTACCAATGGAAGCTGGAGCCTGGGCCGGAGGCAGAGGTGGTTCATCTCTGTCTGACATCGATCCCGAGGCATCTCTAGACCTTTCCTCCAAAATTGGTCTAGGAGGCTCTTGGTGTTCAGCTCGACGATCTGGGGACAGTGCAGAGTCCATGGCGACCAAAGGTGGATTGAGGGATTTCTCCCAAAGGTAAGACCGCAGCCTCTGAAGTCGCAACTTAAGTGCAGGCTTCGTGAGCCTTTTACACTCGGGACAAGAGTGTGTCTACTGCTGTTCCCCGAAACAAAAAAGGCAACAGTCGTGGCCGTCAGTGAGTGGGATCTTATTACACAGTACGTACTGCTTGAAAGGCCCAGGGGGCCCCATAAAAGACAAGGGAAAATGGGAGGGAAGATGGGGGTAAATGGCGAAATTGGCCCCTTTTTTCAAAGAAAAAAACTGAATTGAATCAAAGGTAGAACAAATCAATTTAGAGGGGAAACGTCAAAAAAAAATAATAACAGAAGAAGCAACCACCGATCGCAGTAAACGCTCCATTGCTCTAGTTCCAAAATAGGTCTAACCTCAGCAGCGGCTAAAAGGAACTGAGGGGACTTCTGGTAGGCAGAGCATGCGCTCCACAGAGGAACATCCCCCTAATCACATGTCTTTAAGCTCTAGAAACTTTCGAGAGGTCCTGCGCAGGCACAGAACAACCCAATTGTATGCATTCATAGGGGCTATGAAGAAGAACCAATACAAAGGACCATGGATGCCCACTAGCTATGTTGTGTGTGAGCTGGGCAGGAGAAATAGAAAACCAGGAGTGGGAATCTGACTATAAAGAGCAGAATAAAGGTTACCGTTGACAATTAAGTCCAGTTGTCTCCGACTCTAGGGGCCCTGTACTCATCCCTGTTTGTAAGCCAAAGAGCCATCACCTCTGCTGGCCAGGATTTGTGGGAATTAAAGTCCAAGAACATATGGAGGGCCAAGGTTGGGAGCCAGTGGTTTAACCCACAGTGCCACCTGCGTCCGCAAAAACCAAGATGCCCTGTTTGAATTAAATGGAAGCATTATTTTTCAGAGCACCCTACACTGTAATATTTAATCGCACACTTGTTTCTGAACTCCGCAGGTAAGGAACTGAATTTCAACATTAACACAAATTTAGCTGCCAAAGAAAGCTTACATTGGGACTGGGACTGGAACACAGTAAATGGCTGCCATCTTTCAGAGACTTTGGAGAAATATAGCAGAGAGAATGGTTGCTGGATGGCTTACAAATGTTGATGTAAGTCCATTATCCCACAGTTAGAAATGTGGCTAATCTCAGCTGCAAGGCATATTGATCAGATACCTTTTTAATCTTTGTTTCTGCTGGACACTGTAAAGAAAGGTTCGCAATATCTGAAGCCACTCTTTAAATTTTCATGTTCTGTTTTTCATGCAGCTGGGAGCACATTTTTTATTTATTTATTTATTTTATTTATATCCTGCCTATCTAGCCAACTCAGGACCACTCTTTAGTAATGGTGATGGAGAAAATCAACCCTTGTTGCCATTCCCATTTTCTTGTTTTGAAGTATGACTATATACAAAGTGGCCTAATGATTGTGAAGCACAATATTATGAGCCATTTAAAAATCTTGGTTTGTCTCCAAATTAATTGTAGCTTTATTACATTAATTCCACAATGGGATTTTTGTGAGAAACCTTTTGGAACAGGGCTGCAGCAATTTATTCAGTACTTTTAGTTAAACATAAGGGCCAAGATCCTGTTCCACAACTATGCACACACAATGGGAGGTTGTGCCTGCAGTAATTGTGCTAGTCTTAAGGCAAAGTGCTGTCCATGAAGTATTTCAGCCAGCATACTGTGCAACTGAATAGCATAATACCCAAAACATTTACACCAGCATGAACAGCATTTTGCTCATTAAGTCATATGAGCATATTAAATATTTGCCAGGCAACTAAAAGAAACATTTTCGAAGGAGAAGTTTCATTTTATAATCTGCAAAAATGGGGCGTGTGTTCTACAAAGTCCCATGACATCTGGAAACTTAAAATAAGAACAGAATATATTTTCAGGACTTTTGTATTTTGGGTTGAAATTTGATGACACTACTATCCTTTATAGCAGTGTGTTCATTTCTGCTGTTCTGCATGTTACACGTTTCTAAAACTGCCAGCATTTCCATACTATAGCGTGGGAGTGGGGACTGGTGAAAACTCTACATGTGTAAGAGAGAGACGGGGAGTAGTGATATCACATGACGCCACACAAATCAGTCATGATCTGAGATACCCTCTCATGGGGAGTCAGACATACCAGCCCCACGGCTCCCGGCCATTATAATCTAAGCACTATTGCTAGAGACTCTGCCCCTGATGGCAGCAAACTCTCTACAGTGCCTTTGGATCTAACATCATGGGCTGTAGGCAAAAAAATTATTTTAATACAACTACTTATGAGAACTACAGTTGGCCAATGTGCTTTCTTAAAAACTAAACAAAAAACAAAGGGCTGGATCCAGACTAACTTACATTTGTTTCCCACTAAATTCAGGCCAAACTGTTCCATTAAATTCAATGACATGTTCAATAACTGTCTGTGTGATTCTATGGGTGGGGTTGAGTACAAAGTGGGTAGACCACAACCAATTGCAGTTCTTAGTAGCATGCTCCTGACTGGAACCTATTCTTTTTCTGTATTGTTCTTTGTTCTTCCTCATTAATTAAGCTAACTAAAAGCCAGCATAGAGTGAGGAGTACAATCCTCAGGTTTTAGAGAAAGGCGCTGATTCCAGATGTCTTTCATAGCATAAATCTCCTCTGTGTCAGAGGAAGGTAACTTCCACTATATTCTAGTTTTTTCAGGACAGCTATCCAAATAAAAGAGTATTATTCTGTATAAATTAACCAGCTCCCAGCTTATTGGTTGTATTTTGTTCAGCAGTTCTCCACAAGTGATATCTGTACCCTAAGTGAGATGCAAAAGTGTTCTAAATGGGGAGGGGGGGAGGGGATGCAGGAGTGACTCCTTGAACTTTGGATGTGAAAAGTTATGAACCACTTGTTTCCTTAAAAGTTTAAAAAAAAACATGGTTGCACTCTAAAACTTGGCTAATTTACCTTAAATAGAGGAATTCTGTTTTTGTAATATGCGACCACCGGCTCATTAGCTTGGTAGTAATCTTCAATGCGCTTCGTGATGGCTTCAGCACTGTTGTCAAGACCCTGGCTGCTTTGACTTCCTTCCAGAAGGCGACTGCTCATCGTTGCAGAAGAGCAGTCCAGACAGAGCACCAGGGAGGGCTCCCCAATCTGGGGGTGGGGGGGGAATGGAATAAAAAGAACTTTGTCAATAAGATTCTCAAAGCCTCTCTGTGGTTGAATGCTTCCTCCCTTTCCTGATTGGAAGAGTTGATAGAAACATTGCCTTTTTTGTTTGTAGACAAGGTTCATTAATGTGTTTTGTTTTTTGCCTGTCTCTGTGTCTCCAGCTTTTCTCAAGGGGGTCGCATGTCTTTATGTTTCTCAATGATGGAATCAGGATTAGAATGATAGAATTCCCTTCCCTTCAGTTTGTCTGCAAATTAGATCTCCCTGTGAAGGTAGGTCATGACTCTCCCTGGGTGAATAGCTGTGCTAAAGATTTTAGGTTGATTGGCTGGAGGAGAGACAACAACTCTGATGAACAACCACCACCTCAGTGCAGAACAACATCCATAAGGGAGAAGACATGACCAAAGGCCAAACAACCATGCCCTCAAAAAAAGATTTATAAAAGGGACTTGTAAGTAGCCAAACCACCACAGGCTGCTCCTCATGACAGAATAGTTTTATTGCTTTCCTATTGTACTGTTATCTTGCCTGAATTCATTGCTTGTTCATGTTTTGACAAGGATTAGTGATTAATTACCTATGCATATTTTACTCATTTTCCCAGAAGCTTGATCTTTGACTACGTACTTGTTTTCTGTCACTTTGCAACCATATAACCTCTGTCCCCATTAGGTGGAATTTCAATTTTATTTTACTTGTCTTTATTTCTTTAAATAAAGTTTTAAAGAGACCTCTGGTCTGGAGACTGTTTTAAAGAGAAATTCAGGTTAACTGAATCCTGTAGTCTTTCCAAAGTTTTGACCATTGACTACCTGATATGCCTTTGAGCGTGTTAAGAGTGTTTTTGTGTTTTGATTCATGAGAGATGGTGGCAGCTTCTACCAGAAAGCAGTAACTTTCTCCAAAGCTTCAATGGAGTTAGGTTCAAGGTCTAGACAGTTTTCAAGGGTTCCTTCACCTTGGAGAATGAAGTTCTGGTCTCTGTAAGTTCTACTGGGAAAAGGTCAGAGGAGAACCCTGTGGCAATGTAATTAATAACATCATTATACTTAAAGAAAGATGTTATTTAATAAAATCCTAGAAGGTGCCACTGTGGGAAAAGAGTGCTAGACTAGGGAGATCCCATCCAACACATCATCTTTCATGCCCTGCAACAATTAAAAAAAAACATTTTTAAAGGCACCTTGAAGGAGTCTAGGACAGCAAATGCATAAATACCTTTCACAGCAACCAGAAGAACCTTTTCTGTTCAGATGTCTCACCTTCCTTACCACAGTCTCAGAGGTCCCAAGCCTTATGATGTTTTGGTACCCACTCACCTGTTTGAACATGCCTCTGCAGATTTTAATGCCTAGGTTAGAGAAAGTCTTGGGTATTCCTCTTGCTCTTTTCTCTTTTCTGTTGTGCGCCGGAGTGAAGGGCAACCAAATGTTTGTTTGTTTTTAAGATAAACACTGTGGGTGAGATCCTATTGCACAGCTCCATGTGGACAACAGGAATGGCATCAGCAGTAGAGGCAAGTCACTACTGATTAAAAACTTTCTTTGCCTGTATTGCATTGAATGTGACTTCACCAAATTGTGTAGAAGTTGCATGAACCCTGAAATCCCTTTGGATTGGCAGTGATTTACCACTGATAATGTTACCCTGCTGCGCATGCTCAGCTGCACAACAGAATTTCAACCATTAAATGTCAGTACAGCTGGACACAGGTGCAGTAAAAGCTTGATGACAAAAGTATGCTTTGGGGATACAATTTGATCTGATCTGGTGTTTGACAATGGTAAAAGTCAGCTAAAGTCCCCTTGCCCTTTTGTTATTCTTTTCCAGTGGCAAAAGTAGCCCTAAATTGTTTTCAGTTTTCTGATAGTTTACTCCACACGTACATCATCTCAGATTTCCAAGTAATACAGTTATATCTAGTGTATATGCGTACTCGCAATATGGCATTATTTACTTGGTGGTAAAACGGCACACCGGGCTCCCTGAAAATGCTACTCCTCCATCCACTCACTTATTCTTCCACTATTCTAACTGGCCAAGGCTGCTCTCCTTTTACTCTTCCTAGTCAAATATAGCCACCAGGGAATAAAGTTAGAATTCTTGGCCCAGTTCCTTGAATGCCAGTCCCTTGACTGGCATATAGACATTTTAGTCAGCAATTTGGAAATTTGGCTTCATGAAGTCTATGCCAGCTAGGGCTCTATTTCCGCCCACTCCATCAAGTTTATCTTATTTATTTATTT